CTTCAGTCTTTTAAGATTTCAACTACAGAAATGCCATCACTTTGCATGCTAATATGAATGCATCTGTGCAGCCACAAAGAAGCCTAAAGGATAAAGAATAAACTGATGTTTTAAAGTGCAAGAGCATCCTGAGTTCATCTCAAAATAAGAATTGATGTTAACTGGAATTGTCTTCAATAACATTTTTCCTTTTTCTTTGTATTGTTCACAAGTTTTTAACAGTTGATTTGGGGCCATATTTGCTCTACTATACTTTTTCATCTATCTCCCATACTCTTTGCTTCTCTTTGGGCAAGAACAAATAGAGTAAATAATTAGATTTTTAATATTGTCAAGAATCAAAATAGTCTTGCTCTATGAACAAAATTGTAGGAAAGGAGTGAAGTGAGATGGAGAAAGTTCTGGAAGACCTTACCAAGTAATTGAGAACATTCTGTAGTTTTCTCCAGCTTCAATTACTTTTTCAGGGTGTATATGATCTCAGTTTTAGCCAATTTTAATTTGACTTTTTTCTTAATGGATCCAGCATTGTATATTTTTCTCTTCTCTTTCTCTTTTTAATAATGATGGCTTCGTATTGTAAAGGCCTCTGGAATTCACAAAGCATGCCACCATACTTTATCACCTCTAATTCTTACAAACACTCTTGGAGGAAGATAGGAAAGGAGTTATTGTCTTCATTTTGAAGTTGAAGTAAGTGAGGCGTAGAGAGGTTAACTGGAAAGCCCAGTGACATGTAGAAAACAGCATGGCTGAGTTTTCCCTCCTCTCACTCTTTCTCTTTTTCTTTCTCCCTGCTTCCCTCCCTCTTTCTCCTTTCCTGTCACTTGCTAGCTTCTGCTTCTGCTATTTTGTTTCCATTTCATCAAATGGTATCTGTTAGGTCCCAAGCACTGGATTATTTGCTGCAAAATACAAGCTAAACAAAGTAGAGTCCTGCTGTCATGAAGGTTACCCAGGAATGGGCAAGACAAACATTAAACTGATAAAAACAGGCAAATAAATGTACAGTTAAAAATTATGGTATATGCTGTGAAGAAAAGGAACAGAGTTCTATGCACGAGAGTGAGATGGGAATCTGCTGTAGATTTGGTGATTGGAGAAAGACTGCTGAAATAAAAAAGGATATCGGGAAGCTAGAACCATACAGGTGAAGAACGAGGGAGGATAAGCTAAGTGATGCTGCAGTAAAAGCCCCAAACTCTCAGTGGCTTAAAAGAATGAAGACACATTTCTCACTCATGCAACTTGTCCATGGCAGGATGGCTGGGGACACTACTTCATAGCATTCTCAGACCAGGACCCTGACATACAGAGCAGAACTATTTGGGACATTGCCACTATCTGTGCAAACAGAAGGATATGTGGTAAATTGTTCACACTTAAAGCTTTTAACCTGAATCACATACCACATTTCATGGACCAGGGTGGGTCACATGACCACATCTAATGTCCAGAGGGTGGGGATGTGCAGTCCTGACTTGATGTGCAGTCCTGACTTGCTCCACTTTCCCATTCTCCCTTGCAGCTAGTAGTGGTACCATGACAATGACTGCTCAAGGAACTCACAGAAGTCTGATGGGATGACTTCTGAGTCAAGTTTTGCTTTTGTGTTATGAGACACGTGCAGCTGACACACCTTACCGCCACCTCCTGCCTTAAACGGGGATGCTGCTGGGGATGCCTGGCTGCTTGGCTTAAAAGTGATAAGCCACCCCCTTGAAGATGGGGGACCATCAGGGTGAAGGGATTCTGAGCCTTTAATGACAACGTTTCAGCTGAACTATTGCACACAACTGCCTAATTCTGGATTTTGTTTTAGATGGGGAAAAAATATGAAACCTATTTTTTAAGCCTGTTACTTGGAACCAGAAGCATTTCTGATTTATGTGGGTGGGAGAGATGAACGGACACTGCTTGAAGCCCAGGGACTCATCTTCCTCAGCCACCTTCCAGAGATGGGGCCAGCAGGGCAGGAGCCAAATGAGGCCCTCCTTGCTTTGTGAGTGCGGGCTAGTAAAGCAAGGGACGAGGCCTCTCCATTCCTATTCATCCCTTCTCACTCTCTGGAGTGTCTGGAAATGGCTGTGTCCACCTAATGTGAAGTATCCTAGACTTGACTGAATTAGGTCAATTTCTAAGAGAGGTTTGAAAAGTCAGTAAGCTACTTAATATTTTGTGCCAGCCTTTGGAATTTTTCCTCTCTTTTCCCACATGTCTGAGATAGTGCTCAGAGTATGTGGGACAATTAACACCAGTTGCTTTAGGAATTCCCCAGCTAGTGGGTTTGGACCTTTAAATACTTGCTTTCTTGTGACCTGATTTATGTGAAGCCTCAAGTCTTTTCAGACTCTAGAACTGTGAACTAGGTGGAAACAGATTGCTGAATAAAGTCCTGTCCATAGAGCACAAAGAAAGACACAACATACATGTTTCACTTTATGGCCATAATTTCTCCAGATGGTCTCACCCAGTCTAGTTTAAGGAGTCACTAAGTAGCTAAATTTCAGGCACCTGATCATAGAATTTTTTTTCAGGAGAATTTGCTTCTGGAATACCCCATTTTCTCAGTTTATTGCTCTTTGGTCCAGCAGTTTATTCATATAGTCTACGCCATCTACAATTGCTGTCTTTGTTCTATCCATTGTGATCATTTTGTTTCTTTATCATTGTTGCATGAATTATTATAGCTTTTGAATAGGCAATTGTTCTATTTCTCCTGTGCCCTGGGATGTTCAAGTGTCTGTTGTGATTCTTCAGATAATAATATAATTGTGGTCTTCAAATGAGAAGTCATTCTGTTCTTTTAAAGCTCTTAGCTTCTCCAGGTTTTCACAAGCAATTTGTGTGGAGCTTTTCTTAACACTCAGTCTCATGAGTCAGTTGCTTATGGGAAAAAAAAGGACACAAGGGTACTTTGTAAGCTTTAAATCAGAGATTAGGAAAACGTGTTGTGGGGTTTTATCATTTGTATTTAGATGGACAAGAGACAGGTCTTCAGAGTGCTCCATATGGCTGCCTGTCACAGCACATGAGTCATCTTGTGCCATTTGTCCTCTTGCTGACTAACACCAAGGATAATGGGCATCTTTAGGAGATGTCCTATTTTGACTCATTTTTATCTCTGAATACCAGAATGCCTAGCACACAATAGGTCCTTAGTAAATGCTCATTAGATGAATGATTGAGACAGTCAAAGGTATTGAAAGCCTTACTCCTCACTTTTTAAATTCCCCATTTATGAGTCTCTTGTTAGGCTAGGAATAAAAAACCTGGTTTCTGGTTTTATTTATAGTGCTTACTATCTTTAACGTGAGACTCATAATACTTCACAAGTTAGTCTGAAGGCCCAAAAGAGATAATAAACTGTTTTAAACATTTAAGTACAGTTGACCCTTCAACAACACGGGTTTGAACTACAAAGATCCACTTATACATGGATGTTTTTCAATTAATACACATTCTACAGTAGTAATTGGATGTAAGGCAGCAGATTCCATGGGGGATGTGGTTGATAGAAATGGAAAAGGAAAAATATATGTAGTGGCCTGAACCCATACCTTTGGTGTTACTAGCACCATACTCTAACCACCTAGGCTAACTGACTGCCACCTGGACCAGGGAGAAATGCTGGGATCTGAGAGGAGCAGAGCCGAGGCCCTGGCTGGGCAACTCAGAGGAAGGAGGCAGGAAACCCTTGCTCCTTCAATGTGCCCTTCCCACCCAGGGCCTACCCACCTGCAGGCAGGTGTCAACCCTGGCAGGGACCAGTCGAGCAAGTAATTCACCCTCTGCCTGCTCTCCTTTCTCTGTTAGGCCCTACAGCCCTCCCATTTCTTTTCTACTTTTCTGCTCTTGGTTTGCATCTGAAGTTGATTGAGCCATTTTATAGCAGTATGCTACTAGTAGTTAAGTTTTGGGGGAGGCAAAAATTATACTCATATTTTCAACTGTGCAGGGAGTTGGTGGGGGGTAGCCCATCCCAAACCAATTACCTCAGAATCTGTGGGGTTGACACTTGGGGGTCAAATATTTAAAAAAAATCTTCCCAGGCAATTCTAATGTATAGCCAAATTTAAGAATAAATGTTCCAAAACTGTGGTTTCAAACTCTAATCACCTGGAGATTTTGTGAAAATTCAGAATCTGATTCAGTGGGTCATAGGTGGGGCCTGAGATTCTGTATTCCTCCCAGACAATGCAGAAGCATGACTTTGAATAGCTGCTTTAACAAGTATATATAAAAAATTCCATGTCAGGTAGTAAAAGAAGAGATATGGAACTAGCATTCACTTAGCATATAGCAGGCACCTGCTGGTAACTTTACATATATTACCTCATTTTACCTTAAAGACAATCATGTAAATCCAATTATCACCCCCATTTTAGAAATGAAGAGATTGAGGTTGACTGCATAAATCACTGCCTAAGGTTGGACAGCTAATTCATGATGGAACCTAGATTCAAACATAGGCATGTCTGAGAGCAAAGCCCACAGGTCAGTGGAAGATACTGTAAACCCTCAAATGCTAAGCAGAAGCATTAAGATCTGAAATGGTGTACAGTGCCTTTCTAGAAAACTCTTGATTGGATCACTCACAGATCAATGCCAAATTTGATTTCATAATCTTGCCTCATGTTGTATACAGCAGGGAAGGAACATGATATTGTGCATGCTTCTAGACTGGGATTGTGCTCCAGTGTTATGGTGTCAAAGATATACTGGAGAAGTTAGACCAGAATGTGAATAAATACTAACAGCAAAATGGAGTGCTAGTGGAGGATGTCAAATTTGAAAAGTAAAACTCAAACATGTTTTCAACTACTGCTCTCAAAGGATTATTGATTCTGGAGGGTAAAACTGTGTTTTCTGTCAAAATATTTGGCTCTGACTCCTTGATTCTTCCAAATATTCTTCCAAATGAAAGCATCCCCTAAATAAAGATAACTCTGCTCCTCTGGGTTTTTTTTTTAAGGCGATTTTTTTTTCTCTCCTTCCAGGAAGCTGAAAAACGAACTCTTAGAAGCAAAACGTGTAAGTGGGAAGACTCAACAAGAGACCAGCAGAGTCTGTGTCCACTGTCAGAGAAACCTGGGCTTAATATTTGACCGGGGAGAGCCCTGCCAGGCCTGTTCCCTGCGAGTGTGCACCGAGTGTCGGGTCTCAGGCCTTGACGGCAGCTGGAAGTGCACTGTCTGTACCAAAGTCGCGTGAGTTTCTTGCCTGGGTGTGGAAAGCCAGACTGGATGACTGAAGGGATTGCAGTGGGCAAAGAGGAAAAGGAAAAAAAGTACTTAAAGTTTAGGGTTAGAGAATGGAATTAAAGGTGTAGCCCAACCACGGGCTCAGCAGTGCCCGGGCAGACTCTGGGGTGTGTGCGTGTCTATGGGAGGGAAGAGGAGAGAGAGACAGAGATAAAATGTTTTTATTTTTAAAAACTGTAGAAGAGTAAAATGGAAGTCTTACAGAATGAGGTCTCTTTCTGCATTTGGAAACCACTCATGGGCTTTCTTCTCTTAGAGCCCCATTTGGCTCTTACATGGCTTCTCAGAAGCCACACACAGTTCTTCTGAGACTTTTTTTTTAGATGTTTGGGGTGATGTCTACGTCATGTCATAGGCAAGATAAGTGTGAAATATCCAGTCTTCTTTCCACATTAGCTGAGGGGCAAAAGCTGGAGTAGCTCCTGAATTTTCTTCAAATCTCGTCCTTGAGAAAGGGCAAAGGGCCAGAACCTTCTCATTCACCTCTGTGATTGGCCTGTGGGAGTGCAGCGGCCATGGGTTGCATTCTGCCAGAGTGGGTGCCTATCAGGAATCACTGTTTTTCTAAGTTCAGTTAAACTGGAGTCTGTGCATGGTGTGGTCTTTACTAGTCCTGCAGTCTAGCAAACTCCATCCTTTTGAGAAATCTCCTCGTGGACCACCTCCTCTGTTTTCTCCCTCCCGACGTTTTTTCATCTCCTCTACTTGGGAGGTGCTTAGTCATATCATCTCAAGGCAACTCTGTGTTGATCTGTCCTTCCTGCGGCTCATGTGGGGAATGCTGGCATCACTCAGAATTGTTTGTTCATTTGGCTTAGCTTACTTTATCTCTTCTCCTCACTAACTCATCCTTGTATAGGACTTGGGTTATCTTGGGAGGAAAAGTGAATAGTTCAGTAGGAAGAATGACTGACCTTCCATTTCCAACTTCTCTGAATGAGGACTACTCTGTTCTATTGAGGACTCCTGTTTTTGGTGATTGCCTTATCTAACCAGTGTTATTTTTCCCCTACGTTTTCATAAAACTGATCCTGAATTGAGCAAGTCATTCTATGCTTCAACCCTGGATTGAAATAAGCAATTCTAAAGAAATGGACTATTTAAGTTATTTTATTACTTTGATTTACTTAAGCAACCATCTTCAGTTCTTCGTCTTACATAAATAAATTCTTTTATGTACTTCCTTCCTGTAATTAGCAAACATCCTTTGCCAGATCTGGGGGAAACTAACAGAATCATTGACACATGTATTGCAACGTGGCCTTTGTTGATTGATATTTTTGTCTTTATTTTCTAAATTGAGTATATATAGTCCTCTTCAAATCAGGAAGCAAAAATAATGTTGGATATCTTTTTATTTTCCCATGAAATCAAATTTTTTACTTTGGCTATTTCTCGAAATACCTATATAGAAACAGTGTTAGTAACATACTTTGCTTTCTATTTAAAAGTAACATGATTCATCTGTGACTCCAGTAACTAATGCAAAAGTTACTATTTTAGACCCTGGGTACTTAGAAAGTTTGCTTAAGTGTGAAGTAATAGGTTTCTCCAATTCTGCTCCCCTTAATTCAGAATTTCAGAGTGGGATGAAGAGGCCCTTGCAGTAGAGTCAAATGATGAGTCACAGAGGAAATAACAAATGAATGGACAGGATTCCCTCAATTTTAGTTTTGCTTCCATACAATTTTGTAGGAGCATTTGTCCCTCTCAACTCTTAGTGGCCACTAGAAGACAACAGATCAAATTAACAAGCAGCAAAGAAATGAAGGTAGTGCTTGAAAAGAGACTAATATTGTGTTTTTTTTCATGGATACATATCCAGGTGGCCTTTTCTTTTTTCTTTTTTTTTTAGCTAGTGTTTACCTACATGCGCAAAAGGGCAGAAGTAACAAGTGTGCAACAGGGTTTCTCAATTTCAGCATCACTGCTATTTCAGGTATGATTCTTTGTAGGGGACGGAGGAACTGTCCTGGGCACTGGAGAGCATTTAGCAGCGTCCCTGGCCTCTACCCACTAGATGCCAGTAGCACCTCCCCCTTCCCAATTGTGACAATGAAAAAGTCCTCCAGACATTGCTTAATGTCCCCTGAGGAGCAAAAGTGACTGCTGGTTGAGAAGCACTGGTGTACATCTTAGAGAAGTCTCACACCTTTTATGTGATTATCACTAAGGTGAAGAAAGAGAACACGGCTAACACCCCCAAAGCCTTTCTCATCCCACCTCCCAATCACTCCCCTCTTTTTATTCCCTAAATATAAACATTACCTTCTAACACCGTAGATTAGCTTTGACTTTTTTATACTGTGTATAAACCAAATCATACCGTGTGTATTTGTTTATAACTTCTTTTGGTTAACATTTTATTTGTGAGACTATAATCCATCTCGTTGCATATAGCAGTCTATTCATTTTCACTGTTTTGTAATACTACATTGTATAAATATATAAGGATTTATGTACCATTCTACTGTGGATATTTGGCATGGTTTCAGTTTTTGTCTCTTACAAAATGTTATTATAAATACTTCTGTGCATGTCTCTTGGTGCACATGTGTATACATTTTCATTACTCATCTAATGATTACTCTAGAGATTATAACAAACATTCTTGACATTAAAATCTAATTTAGTACTTTTGGCCCTTCAAGACGATACCAGGACCTTAAGGCCCTTTAACCCCCTTTTCTTGCCTCCTAGTGCTGTTGTATATTTTAAATATCATATGTATCTGTGTACACACACAAACACATATACACACCTATATGTATGTATACATACATATGAATATATATACCTATATACTTACATATTCTTATGGTATATATACATGTATATATATTTGGTTTAAATTAGTTTATCTTAGTTTGTCTTAACTCTTAATCCATTTAGGTAGCTATAACAGCATACAACAGACTGGCTTATAAACAGCAGACATTTAACTTCTCACAGTCCTGGAGGCTGGGAAGTCCAAGATCAAGATACCAGCTGATTTGTTGTTTGGTGAGGGCCTGCTTCCTGGTTCATAGACATCTGTCTTCTCACTGTGTCCTCAGTGGCAGAAGGGGCAGGGAACTCTCTGACTTCTCTTTTATAAGGGTAGCAATCACCTCCCTGAGACTCTACCTCCAAATACCATCACACTAGGGATTACATTTCAACATATGAATTATTGCAGGGGTGGGGGGCACACATTCAGTCTAACATAGTTAATTCTATAAGATATTATTACTATTATTTTGTAGTCAATATTCACTTAGATTTACTATATAGTTACCCTTCCCATTGCTTATATTCTTTATTAATACATCTCTATGTTTCTATCTGGGATAATTTTCCTTCTGCCTAAAGGGTACCCTTTAGCATTTCCGTTAGTTCTGCTAGTGATAAGTATTTTTGTTTTTCTTAGTATGGCTTTATTTCACTCTTAATTTTCAAACCTGTTTTTGCTGATTATTGAATTCTAGGTTAGAAGTTATTAATGTTCAGTAATCTGAAGATAGTTCATCGGCTTCTGGTTTCCAATGTTTCTATCAAGGAATCAGATGTCAAAATATTGTTGCTCCTTTGAAAGTAATAATATTTTTCTTTGACTACTTTTAGTATTTCCCCTTTCCTGTTAGATTTTCAGCAGTTACTATATAACATGCTTAGGTCTGATTTTCTTTGCATTTATCCATCTTGGGGTTTCTAGAGTGTCTTAAATATGTACCTATTAATGTCTTTTGTCATATTTGAATCAGTTTCTCAGATAATATCTTTTCACTTATTACTTTTTCTTGTTCTCTCTCTTCTCTGTTCTAGGTACTCAAATATGTATCTTAGTTCTTTCAACATGTTTAATCAATTTCTTTTACTCCTTTCCATATTTTCTATCATTTTGTATGTCTGAGTTCATTTTGTGTATTTTTGTCTGACTTGTCTTTCAATTCACTAATCTTGTCTTTGGCTATCTCTAATTTGTTTTTAAACCCATCTGTTTAATTCATGAATTCAGTTATGTTTTCAATTTTAGAATTCTCATTTTGCTTTTGTTATGTTTTCTTACTCTCTGCTGACCCTTCTCACTTTTTTCTTGTAATTTCTTGAATAAATTATTTGTAATTACTCTAAAGCCTATGAATTATACCTCTATTATCTGAGTCCCTTATGGAACTGCTTCTATTGTTTCTTGTTTTTCTTTGCTTTGGTTATATCTTGCTTTCTCACAATCCTGATAATTTTTGTTTGATGGACAAAGTATTTGAAAACCTGTAGTGCTTAGTGAGACTATATAATAATATGTACCTATTGAGAATATACATTTTTTTCTTCTAGCAGAAAAATAGGATAGTCAACTAGATATTCAAGATTACTATAATAAAACCAGGGATGTATCTTATTTAAAATTGGAGCCTCATTCCCTGTGAGAGCTAATCTATTTTTGGATCACATTTACTCCTAGGGAATAGTCTTTCAAGGTGTCAAAATACACGTATTAGGTAAGAGAGACAACTGATTTTGCATTTTGTTGACAGTGGAAATAACACTAAGAGGTTAGAACGTGTGTTAGTGGAGTTGGGATGAGTATTGAAGTTTTTTGTTTGTTTCTCCATCAAGCTCTTTTTCCCACCAGACTACCAAGATGAGGTTTGCCATTTCAGGTCAATGAGGAAGAAAATGGAATTTTAACAAATGACTGACATTCTAGTTGCAGAGCTTGAGGACTTACAAGGAGTTTCTCAATGACCATTTCTGCAATTCTTACATAGTATTATTTTATTTGATCCCTAGTATTTAATCATTTCCATTTTTTTATTCCATTACTGTTCGCCCTCTTCTCTGCAACCTGGATTCCTTTGTTCAGACAATAGTAACTAGGAACTGTGACTCATGAACCCTTCAATCAGTCAGGAGTTGCCTCAAGCTTCTATAAAGGGAGAGGAATTTTGTCTTTAACTTCTAAA